TGAGACCAAATGGATAATGGTTGTTTTAAAGCATTAGGTAGACAGTGATCTGAGATAACACAAAACAAAGAATGCAGTCATTATGTCACTGAACATACTGTATGTCTGTGTAGAAATTGTTAAATGGGTGCAAATTTTGTTGTACGTATTTTTTACCTAAAACTATTAAATAATGCAGTTTGGGATAAGTCTAATAAAACTTTATTTCATGCCAAACTATTTTTAAGTAATCTCATCAGTTTTATCACGACCTCTTGCAAAACCCATCTGTTCTTCAGTGTGTGGCTGTACTTGAATGTCTTATAAGCTTTTGCTTTCTGTTCCATTTTAGAACTTTATATGCTTTTACTGGCTTGCCACTGCTATTTAATATCACTTTAGAGGAAAGAATGCAGCAAAATCTCTAACAAGTAATGGAGAATAATAAAGGAAAGAAATAGTTTTTTTAAAAATATATTCTCAAAACATGGCCTATTTTTGACATGATTTTTTCCCTTTCAGAACTATTCAGGCATTTAAATATATTCTGCTTATATGATTATTCTTCCAAAGGAACATGTTATTTTTTAACTTATGTAACAGGTTGTGGGTCTATTGAAGATAGCCCTATAGTAAGTAGTATTTGAAAGAACACTTTTAGAACCATTGTATCATTTTATAATGGCATAATTTATAGGTTTTAAATAAGGTCACCCTGACTTATTATATTGGGAGAATGCTCATGTAGGGTGGTGTGTTGTTGTTGATTGCCTTCAGTAGAGCACAACTCATAGTGACCGACCCTATGAACAAAAGACCTGAAGCGCCTCTACAACTGCAATTATCAAAGTTCATAGAGTTTCCAAAGGCATATTATTTAGGAAGTGGATGTCACTCCTGGGTGGTGTAAGGTGTCGTAAAAGGTAAACTGAGGTGGCCAATTAAGAGACTATTATAGTCATACAGTCAAGACTAAGGAAATAGCATTAAAAATGGAAATTTAAGATATATTTTAAAGATAAGAGGACTTGTTCAATTTACTTTGACAAATACAGAATCAAGAATAACTGATTCATTTCGGAGAGGATAAGCTGTAAATATATCCCGTTGATTAATTTCATTTAGAAACAAAACTGAAAAATAATCCATAGTGTCATGTACCATTGAGTTGGTACATATTCCATGATAGCCACAGTTATTTTGGACCTGAAGAAAGATTAATTTTTTTTTAAGTTGATTTCAATTGGTCTATGGAGGCTGTAGATTTGATGGTGTATTAGTACTTAGTGTTCTGAGCTCCTAAGTGATTTGAATCCGCCAGCAGCTCCATAAAGATTTATAGCCTCAGAAACTTAATGGATAGTCCCTCTAAGTCAGAAACAATGGGTTTATTTTGCTTTATTTTTTATATGTTAAGGTACTGGAGTATTGAAAGGCTTTTGTTGTTGTTATGTGCCCTCAAGTTGCCTGCGACTCATTGTGACCCTGTGTACAACAGCTCTGAACCCTGCTCTAACCAAAGCCAACCTTATTTTCTCTGACACATCTACCCCCATTACCCCAGTCTCTGAATCAATCCATCTCACAGAGGATCTTCTCTCCTGCGCTATCCCTCCACCCTCCCAAGCATAGTGGCCCTCTCCAAGAATTGGTCCCTCATTGCAACATGCCCAAAGTATGTCAGATGGAGCTTCAGAATTTTTGCCTCCAAAGAGCAGCCTGGTTTCACCCTCTTCAGGAAAAACAGCTACCATAAAGATTGGCAATGAAAGACATTTATCTAGAAAAATATCCAATAACTAAGGGAGAGAGAAAAAGAAGGGACATTTAACTCCGATACAGTAATTTAATTTTACTTTCTAGGACCCAAAAGATAATCATTACTTTTTTTTTTTTCTCCTTTTTTGCCTGTGTTAGTGCTGTCATTTGTGTGTAAGTAGCCATGACAACAGCTTTACTAACGGGGTCCCGCCCCATTTCATCGAACAGTTCCTCTGAGAGAAGGGACTTGGATTAAAAATGAAGACACAGAGAGGTTACCATCTGATGGCAGATAGCAAAGTTTATTAGTAAACTTCTGTCTTATATACCTTTTTGCAGTGAACAGAAAAAAAGAACAACTCAGTTTTAAGATTGACAGTACATTCAGATTTTTGAACCACTTAACTAGCTTGGGAAGAAAAGTTGCTTATTTTTCTTATCAGGCAAGACCATTAGCATTTGAGTATAAATAGAGTCTTTCGGGAGGGACATTCCATTATCCATATCCCTGCTCAGTCATAGGATTCAGGGAACGGTTAAACTTGTCTCTGTTTTCCTTCTAATATCAAACCACAATCATGAACAGTTCTGTGCTTTTGAATCTGTCATAAAATAGCTGCAGTATGGCTTACTTTTTAACATCCTACTTCCTTGAGTTGTTTTCTATCAAGCAGATACTATAGCCAAGATAGAATTAGTCTTGCTGGTGTTTTGGTACAGGGCTAATCTTGCTTTACAAGTTAGCCAGGCCTCAACACTTCGCCATCTCCACTGAAATTTTAAAAGCATTTAAAGTAAAAGCACAGCACAGGATCAGACAAGATCTCTATGTTTTACGTAGGATTGCCACGAATCATTCCACTCAATATGAGCACCTTCCAGCACAGGAGACACTGCTATCTTTGCAACCACCATTACTGGTTGTTCTTTAACATTGTGCGCATCCATCCTGCAGGTGTAGTTTGTTTCTGACAAAAGAAACTAAAACCATAACCATTCAATTTCAAGCATAGTGCTGCTGCTGTTGTTGCTGTGTGCTATGGAGGTGGAACCAACTCATCACTGTTCTGCCAGGGGGGTTTTCAAAGGCTGTATGTCTCACAGGAGGAGATTGCCTGTCTTTCCACACAGAACAGCTGGTGGATTCAAACTGTGTTTTGGGGTTGACAGTATCACTACTCCTTACCAGTAACCCACCAGAGTTCCCTTTCAATTGTAATAGCAATACTTGGACCATTTATTTCCTTGTAGCCATGCATAATTCGATAAAATGTGTCTTTGAGTGGACTCTGTTAAAGGAACAAATAGAACTTCTTATTCAGAGTGTTTCTTCATTGGAATGGCAGTCTTTTGACAATTCTTCTTTATCTCCTACTTGTGTATTTTGAATAAAAGTTAATATTAGGGTACTGTAATCTAAATGGTAGTTAGGCCAGATCTTTCTTTTGAAAGTTAGCTAATTCTTAACCAAAGAGTAACATGAAAAGAAAAACAAATATATATTTAATAGGAAAAGCTTGTCTTTAGAAAATAGTAAAGCAGGTTATAGCAGCAGAGTTTAGCTGGTTTTGTTTTTAAAAATTTACATGTTACTCTTGTTGCTAAGTGCCATCAAGTCAGAACTGACTCATAGCTGACTCCAGCAGGGTTTCAGAACTTTCACATGGGATAGTATTGCACATTTTTCTCTTTCAGAGCAACTGGTCGATTTGAACCTCCTGTGTTTGGATTGGCAGCACAACTCATTACTGCTAAGCCAAATGTACATAGATATGGGGGTAGGGGGCAACAAATTAGCTAATGAGACTTTAGTTAATTTCCCCCAAAATTTTCCTACAGTATATACGTGTGTAATGTTTAAAATACAAAACAAAAAATGCAACAAACTTAAAACCCAACACAGTTATACATTTGACACAGGACTCTTTACATATATATTGTGCTAAAGATACACTGAAGGATAGTGGATTATATGAAAGGGCAAATAGGAAATTTTTTTTAACCATCTAAAACCCATTAAGAGAAGGAGACACTACGGTTGGTGACATAAGGACCACAATCTCGGGGGACATCTAGGACAATCAGCATAACAGTCCTCAGGAATCATGCACTATATCCTGTGGTAAAGTGCTAGCTACTGGGATTTTATAAACTTACCAGCTATCATTTAAGGTGAAACTATTGGTCTCTTCCCATTGGGAACAAAGAAGAAGGGAGAAAATCAAATACTCAAACAGAGGATTCATGAGCCGCAGCTTCCACCTCGAGTCTGGAGAACAGGATGCTGTCTACCACAGCCAATATCTCTGATCAGGATGATAGTAGGAAGTCCTGAGTAGAGAAGGAGTGACAAAAAAGTTGAACAAAACATAGTTATAAGAGGTGACTTACTGTGGGTTTGATAGAAACTAGTGGAACTCCTGAGACTGTGTTATACTCAGCCTGGAACTGAATCCATCCCAAGGGATCACTTTGCAGCCCAATAATATATAGGCTTATGAAGAGAATAATAACATAAAGGAGGATTGTGATTGGCACAAACATGGGACCAGAAGGGCACTACTTTCTCAGAACAAAGCTCAGGAGTCAATAAGGAGTTGTTAGGTGCTATCAAGTCAAAAGGAATACTGGAAACAGTAACTATAGGGGAGATGTAGGAAGGATGCTGTTACATTGAAGGATTACAACCAATGTTACAAAGCAAAATAAATTAATTGGAACTAATTTGCTCTGTAACTTTTTACCCAAAGGACAGTCATTAAATTAGCTGTCTTAGTTACCTAGTCCTGCCTTCAAAACTAGGTTTTTTTTTCTGGAAAGATAATTCCATATTCTCCAATTCCTTGTTTTTTCTCTCTTGATTCTTCTCTCTCAGCCCCCAAATTTACCTTCATTTACCCTTTTGTTTTTCTCTTGTTTGTATGCATCCTTTTATTCTTTATTTTTTAATTATAGTACTATACTATAACAGTTCTTTCTCTAAGTATGTCAGTCAAGATGGAAATTCTCAAGTAAAGAAAAATGATTTCGTGATTTACAGTATTAATTCATTTTCTGCCCATCTCTGCATTTATTATGCAACAAGCCAGTTACCACTATCTTTAATGTTTCAGGTATTCTCAGTTCATTTTGAAAAACTAAAAAATAAGAATCCTTTATGAATCACCCTCAACTAGGTTATAGGATTGTTTGAATACCTATTCTGGGCTTCTGCTTCTTTTAACTTTTAAAATTTTTTTCTAAAACAGGTAATCATCAGAATGGGAGTGCATGACCTGTGGCAGATTTTGGAGCCTGTTAAGCAACACACCCACTTGCACAGTCTTAGAGGAAAAACCATTGCCGTTGATCTGAGTCTCTGGGTGTGTGAGGCACAGACAGTCAAGAAAATGATTGGAACAGTCATAAAGCCCCACCTCAGGTAGAGTGAAACCTCAAGTAATTCACAGTTTGGTTTTATTTACTATTTATTTTATTTTACATTTTGAGATTTTAAAATATATACCAATACTCTTTTTATGTTTTGATGCACTAATAAACACCTCTTTACCCTATAGGCTCCTGTTTCATTTCTCTAGCTCCCTGCTTAACTATGTATCAACACTAAGCCAAACCAAACCCACCTCTCATGAGTCAAATTCAACTCTTGATGGTCCTCCACTGGATGTCTGAGACTGTAGCTATTTAAAGGGGGAGGCTGCCCATCTTACTGCTACTGAGTGTCTGGTAGATTTGAACCAGCAATCCTTTGGTTAATAGGCCAACACATAATGCATTACCTCACCAGGATTCTTTAATGTACCTACCAAACCAGCCTCACTGCTATCAAATAGAGTCCAACTCACAGCAATTCCCCAGTGTGTTTACAAGGGAGTAAATCTTTACAGGAGGAGGTTACTCATCTTTCTCCCTCAGAGCAGCTAGTGGATTCTAGTGTTCACCTTTTGGTCTGCCAGCCCAATTTGTTACACACTACAACATATCCATTAGAATGTTTTGAGTACTAATAGCCAGAAGTTAAAGAGCTAACATCTACTTCTAAAATAGACTTTATGTTTACAAACTTCTCTCAATGTCTTAAGGCACCCCCTGCCCCAGTCCCTTCTCATGTATACTGCTGAATTGACATCCTTCAACTCTAGGCCTCTTCCTTTTTTTCCCAACCATTTTCTGCATAACAGTTGTTGTTCTGTGCCATCCATTGCAAGCCAACTTATCGGGGACCCTCCAACACCTTTTAGGGACTGTAAATTGCACGGGAGGAGATTGTCTACCTTCCTACCACAGCAGGCTGGTGGATTTGAACCACCTGTCTGTGTTGACAGCATAGCAATTAGTTGAAATACAAATTTTCCCTTGCTTTTAAGCATTCACTGATTTCCCTATTGTGCGTAGAGTAAAATGTTAGCCATTAGTAGAGGTTACATTCAGCATACCTATTTTCAATCTTAGTGCTTATGATAGGACCTGTTTCCCCAATATATAGAAGCCACAAGACTTTCAGTTTCTAAGAAACATGAAGAATTTTCTTGCCTTTAGCTTTTCGCATGTTGAATCCACGACTTAACTAACACTCTGGTAAATGGAAGACTCATTTGAAGGGACATAGGAAGCCCCCTTGAAATGAACTTTTCATTCACTTTCTTTATCAGTTTAAGTCCCACCTCCTGCAAAGACACTCCTGGCCTCTATATCCATGTTGTTTATTTCCTTCAGGTGATTATAGCTAGAAACCTATTTCATATAGTGTATAAAATAAGTCTTGTCTTTTCCTTTGAAATCGTAAACTCCCTGAGTGTAGGGACTCTATTCTTCTGGCTTATTTTCATTGTATCCCCAGTGTCTGCTATCAGGTTTGCATGTAGCAGGTGCTCATTGAGTAGTTACTGAAGGAATTTATTAATCAGCTACTGTCTCTGTTTTAGCTACTTAAAACGAAAATAAGGAATTTGTTGAAGGAAATATGTCAACAAAAGCTATATTTAATGTACCTTAGAGCATTTGTGCTTTCTTTCAAACGATGTTAATATCACAAAATGTTTTCTTACCCAATTTCCTGCATCTAGAGGGAAGATAAGGTAGACAGGTTATATTTATTCTCATCTTACAGGTGAGAAAATTGGCACTCAAAAAATAATTTGAGTAAATGGAATAATATTTTATGTTGAAAATTTTGACATTATGTGATACTACTTGTTTAATTTTTTGCTATTAATAGATGATGATTAACATTACTAATTTTTATATTTCAGAAATTTGTTTTTTCGAGTTTCATTTTTAACACTAATGGATATAAAACTGGTATTTGTTATGGAAGGGGAACCCCCAAAGCTTAAAGCAGATGTCATAAATAAGAGAAATCAGATTCGGTATGGGCCATCCGAAAAACCATTTTCTCGGAAAACAGGAAGATCACATTTTAAATCAGTCTTAAGAGAGGTGAGATTTCATAATTTTTTCAGTTACTTTTGTGATTTACTGGGACTAAAGTTTGTTGTTATCTTTTTTCCTTTTTGTGTGTGTGTGTGAAAATAGTTTGTTTTTAGATGTAGCCAACTGGACTCAGTTTAGATCATCTCAATTTTGTTGGCAACATCCAAAGCATCATAGTCAGGAGCAAATTGAACATGGGCCGCCTTCTCTCCATCAGACGTAATCAAAATGTTGACCGTGGGCCCATCAGTGTTATTGAGCTTCTTTACAGCTTGTTTGATTTGGTGCTTGTTCGCCTTGATATCCACAATGAACACAAATGTGTTATCTTCTGTCTTCACTCAGTGATCAAGGGAAACTTGATGACATAGTGGTCAAGCTTGTTTCTCCTCGAGGCACCCTATTGGGGTGTTTGACTGCCTTTAGAGTCTCAGTGTCTTAGGTCACCAGGAGGTGGGAAGGTAGGTGACATGCTGATCTTTTTTTCTGTGGTTGTAGATGCCCTTCAGGACAGCCTTCTTGGTCTTTAATGACTTTCTTTTTTGCTTTTGGCACCATCTTCCTATTTACTTATCTTTATTGCTCATTGATGCTGCCTCTTGGTTTGATGGTGCAGATTTTTGTTTTCTTAATGTTGATATACTTTTATTCATTCCCCTACACTTACATTCTTTTGAGCAGCTCTCAGACAAAATTTTGTATGACTTGCAATGTTACATTACCCTTCTCTAAAAGATGATGATTCTTGAAAGTGTCTGTATTACCGCAATATTTTTATTATCACACCTAAAATGTTAACAAAATCATTCCTTCGTATCATTAATTCCTTAATGTTGAGTTTCCTGTTTCATAAGTACTATTGTTTTTCAAACAATTAAATAGCTATTGTTTATAAGGAAAAAGTATAAGTGAAACTCTTAAAAAAATTAGCAGTAAAATGATTTTTAAATTTCTTGTTGACTCTGTTTCTTTTCAGTGTCTTGAGATGCTAAACTGCTTGGGTATTCCATGGGTTGAGGCTGCTGGGGAAGCTGAAGCCATGTGTGCATACCTCAATGCTAATGGTTATGTAGATGGTTGCCTCACCAATGATGGAGATGCTTTCCTTTATGGAGCACACACTGTGTACAGGAACTTTACTATGAATACAAAGGTATCTTCCCCCCTCCCTTTTTCTCTTTGTCAGAATTTGCTTTTAAAAATATCTCTTTAGAAAACTCATTGTAATCAGTCTAGTCAGAACTGACTAGCTAGTTTTCGAAAGTGGTAAATTGTACTGAAGAAGTTGCCCATTTTTCTCTCCAAGAGCTGCTTATAGAGTCCAGCCCCCAGAGAGGTACCACCTTTGCGTCAGTAGCACAGTTCTCTACAAACTAGGCCACCGGTGTTTGTTTTTTTTTTAACTATTCTTAAATAAATAAATCATTGTGTCTTTTGGATGCTGAGCGTATTATCCAGCACATTTGTTGTTGTTTTGGGCCATTAAGTTTCCTTCAACTCCTAGTGACTCTATGTATGTTAGCTCTGAAACCTGCCCTATCCTGAGCCAATCTCATTTACGATAGACCTAATCACCTTACTACAGACACTGAGTCAATCCATTTCATTCTAGGTCTTCCTCTCCTGCGGTGTCCCTCTACCCTTCCAAGCATGATGTCCTTCTCCACGGGTCAGTCCCGCCTGGCAACATGCTAAAAGTATGTGAGATAGAGCCTCAAAATCCTTTCCTCCAGGGAGCAGTCTGGTTTCACCCTCTCCAGGGCCGACTTGTTTGTTCTTCTGGTAGTCCATGATAGGTTCAGCACTCTTCTCCAATACCACAAGTCAAAGACATTGATTCTTCTTCTATTCTTAGTCATTGTGCAACTCTCTAATAGCAAGTAATTACAAAGGCCATGGCCTGAATCAGATGCGCCTTAGTCTTCAGACTGACATCAGTGCTCTTCAGTACTCTAAAGTGGTCCCTGACAGCAGATTTTCCCAAACCAGTTCATCTTTTGCTTTCTTGACTCCTGGTGCCAAGAGTGTTGATTGTGGAACCAAGTTATCAACAATCTCAGTCTCTTCTCCATCTGTCATTATGCTACCAATTGGCCCAGTGGTGAGATTCTGTTTTCTTAATGTTGAGCTTCAGTCCATTGAAGACCACAGTCCCTGACTTTCTGCAGCAAATGCCTCACGTCCTCTTCAGTTTCAGCAAGGAAGCACAAAACAATTGCTAAGTAAATATTTTACTATTAGTAAAATACTGCCATATAGTTAATTTTCTTTGAAATGTGCATCTCTCTCTAAAGGTCATGCCTTGTTTAACATGATTTAATTCTAAATATATTTCCAAAACACATTAAAAAATTACATATGAAATGAATTTCCCCTTTTAGTAACTTAACCTAAAATACTCAAACTCATTGCTGTCAATTCGGAACTGACTCATAGTTGACCCTCCAGCAAGTTTTCGAAAGCTGTAAATCACATGAGAGGAGATTGCCCATGTTTTTTTGTTCAGAGCAACTAGTAAATTCAAACCTCTTGCCTTTGGGTTGGCAGTACAACTCTTTCCCTACTTTGTCACCAGACCTTCCTTATCCTAAAAAATCACCTTTTGGATCTACAGGGAAAGGTATATAGGAATGTTCATTGGTTCTAAAATAAACCCACACTAAGCCCCCTGCCTTCAAGTTGATTGTGACTATAGGTGAGCCTCCATCTGGTTTTACTGATTAGCTGTAAATCTTTGCAAAGCTTTTCTCCCTCAGAAAGGCTAGTATACTCCAACCAGCACCGAACACAGGATGCCACCAGGGCTCCTTATCACATAACCCACTGCCTTCTAGTTTATTCTGACTTAATAGTGACTTCTATCAGATTTCCAGGACTGTAAATGGTAATGGGAGGATAATACCCAACTTTCTCCCTCAGAGCCACTGCTGGATTTGAACTGCTTTCTGGTTAGCACCTTATCACATTATGCAGCCCGAGTTTGTTCCTATTACATGGGTAAAACATGGAACGCAAACTCAACTGCCTAGGAGGTAATGCTAACTCACAACAACCTTCCACCCTTCCCTTAAGGGTGTATATCTTTATGGGAGAAGACTGCCCTCTCCGAAAGAGCTGGATTCAAACTTTTTGGTTAACCATCTTAACAGGTTACACTCTGTGTCATAGGTGGTCATTACTACAGTGGTTAAATCCTTAAAAGTAATAGTTCTTGGTCAGGAAGAGACATTTATGTTCTAAATAGTTGGTAGATGAGAACCAGCCAAACTTCTTGCAGTTCTTTTTTTTTTTTGCAAGTCAATTCTATTATATGCTAGTATATCCATTTTGAGAAACATAGTCACACAGTCCAAGGAATATAATATTAAGCAATCATTAATACAGACATGTTGTGTACTATAGAATCAGAACTGACTCATAGCTGGTTGACTGGTGGGTTTTCAGAGGGAGTTAAGCCCATGAGAGAGGAGATTGTCCATTCTCCCGTGGAGGAGATGATGATCTCAAATCTCATGCCTCTGGGATTGCAGTGCAGCTGCTTGCCATTAGGCCACCAGAGCTCCCCATAGACATTGTTGTTGTTATGTATCATCGAATCAGAACTGACCCATAGCTGACCGTCCAGTGGGAATTCAGAGACAGTTCATCACATGGGAGGAAATTGCCCATCCTTCTCCCATGGAGCTGTTCGTGGATGCAAACTCCATGCCCTTCTATTGCAACGCAGCTTCTTGTCACTAGGCCACCATGTCCAAAGTATGTAAGACGGAACTTTAGAATCCTTGCCATTGAGGAACAGCCTGGCTTCACCCTCTCCAGGACAGAATTGTCTTGGTGGGCTATGCTATATTCAGTACTCTTCTCCAGCACCACAACCAAATGCATCAATTCTTCTGTCATTTTGGGTCATTGTGGAACTGTGCTATTTTCCTAGACCATAAGTCTTTATGGATGCAGGCTGCCATATCTTTTGCCTATTGAATGGCTGATAGTTTGAAATGATGATCTTTTAGTTCAAGACTATGCACTTTCATTACTGCACCATCAGAACTGCTACTATAAACCTGCTTCTAACTTTAACAATTATTTCCAGTATCTAACACTTTGAGTTTATGATAGTGGTAAAATATCTACTGCTGTTAGGGACCCCAGACCATTTTCCCACCTAGCCCAGATGTCAGAACAGGCTCCAGGATCGTGAATGCAGATTTGCTGGGGTGGCAAGCCTTGGAGGTGGTTCCAAAATGAAAGCCCTGACCTAGCACAGAAGGACGATGAAGTGATTAAACAGCAGGACTTTCAGCCTCACTGCCTAGCGTGTGCCCAGCTGGGGAATAAATCCATAGCTGGAGTTAGTAAATATTTGCTCACACTCACTCATTGCCGTTGAATTGGAACCAACTCCTCTCTGATCAGCCATTGGGTTTCCTTGGCTTTGAATTGCATTGGATGGGATTGCTCCTCTGTCTACTGAGAAACTACTGGTGGACTCCAGAAAGGAGTGCCCTTTGAGTATGCAGCACAGCTACCTAATGTTATTATTTATTTTATCATATTTGCCAAATTGGAAAATTGACATATAAATGGATATTGTTGTTAGGTAACATCAAGTTGAGTACGACTATAGCTACCCTATGAACAAAAGATCTGATCCTCACCACAACAAGATAAAGGATAAATAATCCATTTGAAAAATGGGTACAGGATATGAACAGACACTTCACCAAAGAAGACATTCAGATGGCCAACAAGCACATGAAGAAATGTTCAAAATCCCTAGCTCTGAGAGAGATGC